ACCCATGGTGCACTGTGTTTGTAATCCATGGAGATCATGATGACACCCTGTGGGGGGTCTCTATTGCTCTCCCTGTAACTCAGTTCTTCACAACAGCAGTCTATGCTGAACATATGATTCGCAGGTGAGAGAGATACCTCTTTTTAAATAGGGATTTTCCCCAGTTTTTGTTATCTGCGGTTCCTGCAGTCTTGGCTAATGAAGAGGGATCTAGTAGTCCACTCTTCCACTACAGCAGCAGCATGTCCTCTCCCTTTGAAAGCCACTAGAGTGTTGCCATGGGCCTCTATCATAGAAAAAGTCAATAGATGTAGCACCGCTAAAGAATAGTGTTAGTCTCTCTTCATTTGTTTCTTTGTGGTTTTAGAGACCCCTACATCCTGAGCTTGTAGTGATGATAGAAACTCTTCTCCCTCTTTTGGAGCAAAGAACAACACCTTTCCCATCATGGCACAGGAGAAGCTTTGTATGAAATCTCCATCTATATTTGAGGTCCTTTGCTTTGAGTAACAAGACAAGTATTCAAACCATCTTGTGCCAAATCTTGATAGAAGTTCAGATTATTAGATTCAACAGGAAGAGGGTAACCACAACAAATTTGAAACATAAGCAAGACATCCCTGGGTGCACTTAATGGGATTGATTTAGGTTTGTATAACCTATGGTACCTACCCAAAATCAGTTCAAAGTCTTGCAAATTTGGCAAAAGGAACCAATTTATAGATTGTACATGCTTCATTAAGTCATTCAGGCCAACCTTTTTTGAAATTCCCCAAATGCCAATGTTCTTCCTTCCGTATCCGTTCTCAAATTAACTATTTCATTCATTTAAAATTTTAATGCGATTGAAGCATTCTTGTTTCTTATTTATTCTCCAGTTCTTCCATTCGGTCATTTTGTGCACATTCGATTTTTTTCGACCTGAACATGCAATTTGCTCAGGTCCTTGAGAACTGCAGCAATTCCTTTAATCAGGCCTGAACAAAGGGGCTTGTGCAGAGAATTTATCATCCTTTCCTTTATGGACGGAGTAAGCTTAGACTCCGTTCAGGTGTCCAAATTCATAAAAGCTGCAACCTCCTAAAATCGAAAGCTTTCTCCCTCCTCAGTACACGAATACCTTTTCTCACCCATGACCTCACATAAGAAGTGTCGAATAGAAAATAGATTATTTTACAGCAGCTTCCATTCGCTGGATTGAATCTCCTGAAGTTGAGGCCAATCGGGACACAGACGTTCCCTTGTCCTCCATTACACGGCTCCAAAGCGTCTCAGATTTCTTAGTGATTTTCTGCTCAATCAGAGTTTTAGAAGTTTTCTTTGATTTCAGCATTGGTAAACTGAAATATGCCAAATAAGCTTAAAATAAAGCATTTTGATGTATGATTACTAAGCTTTTTGCACGGATTCATGCCACACCCTCCCTGTATGTGATTTCAGAGTGTAATATGTATATGTACATATATATGTATACATATTAATGCGTGTATTATTAAAATAAGTATTAAAATGCTTACATTATTTACACATATAATAAAGGGACACCCTAGGAACCATAAAATAATGATTATTATGTTGCAAAACAAATGGTTAAACAAAAAAGTCTTGAATCCATGCTTCTGATTGCTCTGCCCCACAAACTGCCACAGTTCGAAAAGGAAGCTTCGGACATGGGCATGATAGGTTAAAAGCATCAAACAAAAAACAAACAAAACAAAAATAAATTTGAAATTTAACTTTGAATTCACATTACAATTCCTGAAAATTCTTATTTTAGTGAATTACCATGTTGGAGTTTTTAGGTAACTATATTCATATAAGGTAAGCATTTTCAAACAGATTAAAAAGCATTACTGGGTACCGTTAATAAAAAAGAAAAGAAAAAGAAAGCTAGACTATTAGTTACTACACATTTAATAAAATGCCTGCTTTTTTGGTAGAATATGTTTTGGAAGTTTGGTACTTTGAGAAAAAAACAATAATGCCGCAAAAAAATCTTTAAAGGTTACTACAACCTCAATGACCACTTCTGCTCGACATGCTGCACATACATACTTTGGCAGCTTAGAATCTGTCCCAGCTACCTGATGTTATTTCTGAGTAGAAATTATGTCTGCTGTCAGCACGCACAGCGAGCTGGTGACAGAAATAATTAACTTCTAGGAACGCACTGGCAAGATGAAGTGTATATTTTCCTCCTTCACTTTTTTCTTTCAGCCCTCCCAACCCTCCATGTCCCCATACATGTCTTAATATGCAGCCATTTTTTTTTATTTTATTTTAAACCATCCTTCCCTTGTCACCTCCCACTCCATCCCTCCCTGCATGTGCTCTGAGCTGGTGAGAATGGTCCAATAAAATGCATCTCTATGAGAAGCATTTGATTGGACCATGGAGAGGTAAAAAGTAAAAAGAGTCATCGGAGGATCATGAAAACCAGCAAGGGAAGCTTTGCAGGTAAGTGTAAAGCTTATTTCATAGGTTTATCAAGGGGGACATGGGGGTATAGTTATTATTGCCCATTCTAGATTTAAAAAAAATATATATTATTTAAAAAGGGCTAGAGTAAACCTTTAATGGCAATATGTTTTGAGTTTGCATTTGACAAAAATAATAAAAAAAATAGGTTTTACACAATATATAGCATATATTGCACTCCAATCATCCAATCAATCAAAAATGTCCAAATCCCATTTTCACCTGAATGCTTATTATTCTTCCTGCTGCCCTCATTCCTACCCAAGCACAAATCCTCCTTGATAACTCACCTACTTACCGCAGCGAATCAACTCATCCCAGTCAGTGGAAACGTGCAGACCCTCCCACGATCCAGGAATGAATCCAAAGGATAGAGACCATAAGGGTAATGGAATGAAATGAAATTTAAAAAAAATCACTTTATCAGTGTCCAAGAAGTACTCCAGATACACTGACACCTGGGGTCTTAACATACCTTTATCCACTCCACCAACCAAGTCAACTGAATTGGGATACCCTCTTAAAAGTATATACCGATGCCTGTTTGTTTCCAGCAGTGGGCCACTTTCAACAAGGGTACACACAGCCTCAACAGAGAAGGTTTAAGATGCCCTAGATTTTTCCCCAAACATAGATATGCAATTCGCGAGTAAACTAATCTATGTTCGGGGAAGTTTCTCCGAACATAGATTAGCAGGATTCTATGTGCTAGTGAACTGGTCTATGTTCGGGGCAATTCCCCCGAACATAGACTTGCTTTCTAGAACACGTTTTTCCCTGAAATAAGACCTCCCCTGAAAATATGTCCTAGTGCATTTTTCGGGGAAATTAATATAACAGTAGAGTTGAGCGGACACCTGGATGTTCGGGTCCGGCGGGTTCGGACGAACTTTTAAAAAAAGTCCGGGTTCGGGCTCGAACTTGACCCCGAACTAGACCCCGAACCCCATTGAAGTCAATGGGGACCCAAACTTTTGGACACAAAAATGCCTCTAAAAAACTCCTGGAAAGAGCTAGAGAGCTGCCAAAGGAAGTAAAATGGGGGTAAGAGTAGGACAAGTGCCCTGCAAACAAATGTGGATAGGGAAATCACTTAAAAATAACATAGAAATTAAAAATACAGCTGAGCCACAAAATAGCACTAGATAGAATCTTTGATTTTAGCATTGGAAGAACATAAATCAAAAGCATGGCTGTCAGGAGGATCACCAGAATTATCCATTTGAGATAGGGTTGGAGTGCAGGGTATTCTCTTTCATTGTTCAAACTGAGCTCAACTCCTGATGCATGGAGAAAAGGCCTTCACAAGCCTCTGCTATTGTGTACATAGTTTATACTAAGTGACCCATAGGTTGAGGAGGCGGTGACCGTGGCGGTGTAGGTGGAAGCAGCAGTGGAGGAGGAGGAGGAGGTAGCCAACACTGTATTTTTATATATATATATATATATATATTTTTTTTTTTTTTTTTTTGTGGTAGCCCACAAAATATTGGGACATATAAAAAAAGAAACATTTGCGTCCTGCGGTGCATTTCTTGCAGTCCTGATGCATGGAGAAATGCTCAACTCCTGATGCATGGAGAAAAGGCCTTCCCAAGCCTCTGCTAATGTGTACATAGTTTATACTAAGTGACCCATAGGTTGAGGAGGCGGTGTAGGTGGAAGCAGCGGTGGAGGAGGAGGAGGAGGAGGTAGCCAACACTGTTTTTTATATATATTGTGATAAGGTGAATGGGGTGGTCTCCGAGGGAGTTTATATTTCAACTGCATTGTTCACAGAGGCATATGATCTTTAACCCCAGGGGGAGTGTGTGTATGTATAGAACTTAAATGCATATTTAGTTATGGGCCCCTGGGGTGGAGCATTTGGAAAGAAGGGTGGGCCAGTGCTCCACTCTGCTGTTTATTTGTTTTTCTTGGGAGACTAGGTCCAGGCCAGGGTTTGGACTGTCTCCAACCCATAGATCAGCTGCAGGTAATCAGCTGCAGCAGTGGGAATAAACCCCTCTCTGCTAGGCAGGTAAGGGAAGAATGTTTGTTTCTCTCTTGAAGGGCTGGAAGCAGAAGGCTGACTAAACACTGGAGTGCAGAGAGCTGACAAAGACACTAGGTTGGTGAAACTAATATTATTTTTGTTATAGTTTAACCCCTGAAAGATAGGGAACCTGAAGTTAGTTAGTGCTCAGACGAGCTAGGCCTTTGTTTATAGGGATTTGTGTTACATTATTGTTTTTTGTTTTTTTGTCATTTTGCTGTTGTCTCCGTGGTGAAGCTCAACAATAAAGTTCCTGGAATTAAGTTACTTTTAAAAGACTGTGCATGTTTGTACCCAAAAGGACCGTGCTAACTGCAGACAAGGATCACAATATATATATTTTTAATTGTGGTAGCCCACAAAATATTGGGACATAGAGAAAAAGAAACATTTGCGACCTGCGGTGCATTTCTTGCAGTCCTGATGCATGTAGAAATGCTCAACTCCTGATGCATGGAGAAAAGGCCTTCGCAAGCCTCTGCTAATGTGTACATAGTTTATACTAAGTGACCCATAAGTTGAGGAGGCGGTGACCGTGGCGGTGTAGGTTGAAGAGGTAGCCAACATTGTTTTTTTTTAATTTGGGTAGCCCCCAAAATATTGGGACATATAAAAAAAGACAACTCTGTTCCGCAGAGTAGCTGTCGACATTATAGTTGCGCCGGCACTTTGTTGACTCTAGAGAACCTTGGGACAATCGCACATCCCCATGACGGCAACTTTGCATTCGGATGTCATCCATATCAACTTTCGATGCCAGTTTCTGCGCCTACCATGGTGACCCCAGGGAATCAGGGTTCCATTCCGTACAGGGACCCTGAGAAATGGCTACCACATGCAAGGAAGGCAGCAAGGGCGCAAATGACCCACTCCCGATGCGGGAAGGTAGTGACAAAAAATAACAATACAGGACTCTTTAGAGGCCCTGTAATTGTAATGAGTCCACTTGAAATCCTTTAACTCTGATCAATTGGAAGGAAGTCTGCTGCAGAGCCACTGACCCGTGCGTGCTGCAGCTAAAACTCCACTATCGCCTGCTGCTGCTCGCACAGTCTCATGAGGTGGTGAGCGGGAAGGCCGAAGTTACGCTGCAGTGCAGACAGGCGAGCAGCAGCAGGGTGAGAACACCAAAAGAGCGCACAGCTGCTACAGTGAATGTCACATCCTGTTCCAAGTTGCGGATCAGTCAGGTGATGACTTCTGGTATCCAGTACTCTTTTTACTGAAGCTGCATCAGGGTCCTGGTATGTGGCCGCACAAACGCTGGTGCTCAACACCAGGGGGCGTGTGCTTACCCTGCACCAGACCCTGCTAATCCATTCCACACTGTGACTCCTAACTTCAACATCAGGCATACTGGGTTCCGGTCGTCCAACCGCCACCCAGACAGTGTCTGAGTCCTGGTCACCGGACTGCCCACCTGACTGTGAAACTATGAATGGATCGTTAAATCTGATACACCCGAATTATGCATTACTTGGATAACTGGTCATTCTCGAACTAATACTTGCCAACGAGCGCTAGGGGACGGCCGCTCCGCTTTTGCACCCTGCTCCCTCTTATGCTGTGCTGGTGCCACTGTGCGACCAGCGCCTCTTCCTCCAAACTGCACACGTCACTCGCATGACCTTGATCCCATGTGGTGTCTAGGACCTCATCATCCTCCACCCACTCCTGTGTTTTTCCAGCATGTAAAGCTTGCAAAGGACATATGGAAATTGTTATAGAATTTTATCCAGGCAACAGTTTTCCCTATAAACTGACCTCTCAGTATGATTGGGAGGGTATTGCCCCAGAATTACAATATTGTTGAAGTACCTCTTAGCTGTTGATAACTGGTTTAAATATAGCAGCTTGATATCTGGTAGTTTCTAATGTAGAAAATATCAATCTGTTTTCTATCACTTAGATCTGTGTAACAAGTGTTGTAGGTGTGAAACAATATTACAAGTGACCGATGTAGTAAATTCAAATCAAAGTTACGCTTCGATTTGACTCTCAGATATGAAGTGCACACCCCAAATATACTATTAAGCACCAAAAAAAATAAAAAAATATAAATTTGACTTTTTAAAACTCCAATGTAAGCATCAGATTAGCAGCAAAACAATTAGAATGTTTACAACTGCACAGTAAGCGCACTATTTGACGCTTCTATTTGACTCTCAGATATGAAGTGCACACCCCAAAATGTAATATTTAGCAGATTAGCACCCAGAAAATTAGAATTTTTACAACTGCGCTGTAAGCACACTATTAGACGCTTTTATTTGACTCTTAGATATGAAGAGCAGGCCCCAAAATGTACTGTTTAGCAGATTAGCAGCAAAACAATTAGAATGTTTACCACTGCGCTGTAAGCGCACTATTAGATGCTTCTATTTGACTCTCAGATATGAAGTGCACCCCACTAAGGTACTAGTGCAGAATTCTTTCCTAATCTGTCCCTAAAAGCGGCAGTATCCTCTCCGCATGGGCGTCCGCAGGGGGGGGCAAGGGAGGGCACTTGCCCCCCCTGGATTTTTCAGCTTGTTCTGCTATTTTTCGTGTGAGATTTAAAATGAACTGCAATACCGGCGCCGGCCAGTAGGTGGCGCTGTGTATGGAGAGAGACAGGGATAGGAAGCTGCATCTTATCCCTGCTTCTCTCTGCTGATTGAAACCGCAGGGGAGCAACACATGCAGCCAGAGACAGCCTACAGATCAGGGGAGTGGGGGATGGGGGGAGGGTACAGATCAGGTGAGGGAGGGGGGCAGCAGCCTATAGATTTGGGGGGCAGCAGCAGGATTTGGGGCAGCACTGATTTAGGGGCAGCAGCCCATGGATTTAGGGGGGCAGCAGCCTGTGATTTGGGGCAATAGATTAAGGGCAGCAGCCCATAGATTTGGGGGGGGCAGCAGCCCATAGCAGCAGCCTAGATTTGAGGGCAGCAGCAGCCTTTAGATTTGGGGGCAGCAGCCCATAGATTTGGGGGGGCAGCAGCCCATAGATTTGGGGGCAGCAGCCTATAGATTTGGGGGGGCAGCAGCCTTTAGATTTGGGGGCAGCAGCCCATAGATTTGGGGGGCAGCAGCCCATAAATTAGGGGGCAGCAGCCCATAGATTTGGGGGGCAGCAGCCCATAGATTTGGGGGGGCAGCAGCCTATAGATATATAGAAATGAACAGGAAGGGTCAGCAAGGAGCTTGAAGGTAAAGCAGCACAAAGGTAAAGTAGAAGGAGCAGAAAGAGTCAGAAATGAGCTGGAAGGGGCAGAAGGTAAAATAGGAGAGTGAGCAGGAAGGGCCTGCAAGGAGCAGGAAGGAGCACAAAGGTAAAGGAGCAGAAATAATTAGAAGGAGCACAAAGGTAAAGTAGGAGAAGGAGCAGAAAGGGACAGCAAGGACCACAAAGATAAAGTAGAAAAGGGAGCAGAAAGGGTCTGCAAGGAGCAGAAAGGGATCAGAATGAGAAAGGAGCAGAAGGGCGCAAAATAAGCAGAAAGTAGCAGAAAGGTCAAGGATAGAAAACAGTGTCAGAAGAAAAAAAAAAGACTGTCAAATGAAGGAGAGGAAAAGGAGATTGGAGCAGGAAGGACAAATGAAGTGAACCCTCCACTTTATCCTGGACACCACATCATAAGGCTTTGGTACCTGGGCCAGGCAGGGAAATGCTGGACCTTCTCATCTCCAAAGGTAAAAACATATATGAGTATTAATGTGTTCACTTTTATTTACTGAGTGTCAGTAAGCACAGAGTGCCGTTGGGTAGGGGTGTTGCTGATTGGCTAGAGCAGTCAGCTGGCACTCTAAGCCAATCAGTAGCTCCCCATTCATAAAAAAAGTAAAAATATTTTATGAACCGGGAACTAGCGATTGGCTTAGAGCATCAACTGACCACTCTAGCCAATCAGCGGCACCCATGCCTGACGTCAATCTGCACTTCCTGACACTCTGTTTCAGAAGCCAAATACCACTGAGCGACCTGGAGCTGGAGGAAGCCTTTGGGGTTAAACCATTTGAGAGTGATTTAACCCCTTAAAGGAAAGCGAGCACCCAAGGGCTTCCTGGCATCATAGCATTTTCATTTAGGTGAAGTTGTTATGGTGACCAGAAATGTCCTTTAATTTGCTTAAGGGAACACTATAGTGTCAGGAATACAAACATATATTCCTGACACCATAGTTGTGAAAACCCTATTCACCCTGGCTTTATGTGATAATGGCTATGCCCCTTCCCTTTCATGACACTGTCAAAAAGGTACCAAGCATGGATGTTATTACAATTATGCCCCCCCCTGGAAAAATTCCTGCGGACGCCCATGCCTCTCCGTACACTAAAAAGAGCTCTTGCCGTACACTAAAAAGAGCTCTGGCCAATCACAGCCATGCCATTAGTAGGCATGGCTGTGATGGCTTCTAAGGGCACACGAGTCAAACGCTTGTTGATTGGCTGCCCTGTAGCCTTTCAAAACGCGCCATTAAATCGCCGAACACTGAACTCCAACCCGAACATACAGTGATATGTCCGTGTTCGGGTCCAGGGTCCAAAAACCGTAATGTTCGGTACGAACCCGAACTTTACAGTCCAGGTTCGCTCAACTCTATATAAGACCCGATCTTATTTTTGGGGAATGACGGTATTTCATTATTTAAGGAGAACATATATATATATATATATATATATATATATATACATATATATATATATATATATATATATATATATATACATTATTGTTTTGTTACTGTTTTTTTTTCTTATTGCTTTATTTTCTAAGTGATTATTACCAAGTAAACTCCATTGTGTATGTGCTGAAGTATCACAGTCTGTGCCAAGTGTGATAAAGTAAAGTCATATAATTCACTGCATAAATTATTGTCTCCAATTATTGCACAATATTGCACCATCACTACTAAGAATCATGACTCATTGCTAGGTTTAATAAAATGATGAGCTAAGAAGCAGTAAAACCAGAGTGCAATTTTTTTTATTGTCCCCCCATGGTGTGAATAAAATGAGTGCTCCTACAGCTTCCATACATCCTTTGTATACCCATCCATTTTTTTATATGCCCTCTCCATTCCTAACAAATGATGACTGAATCTAGTCCATAAACATCTATGGAAAAGTACATTATAAACAGATAACCGTGGCAGTGTAGAGGTTTGCAAACTAGAATTTTCATGAGGATCACCTAGCCTTAAAATATTAATGCAATTAATACAAACATATATTACATCCTCCTATCATATACACAAACTTAAAGTAGAGCTACTTACAAAAGCTACAGCTTTGCAGATATGCCTCATGATAAATGGTTAGAGGAATTAATTTATAATACATAACTGAGGCATTGTCCAGAACTCTGAGAAGCTTGAAAAACATCAGGTTGGTGAAAGACCTACCAAGTATGTATACATTATGGAACAATAAAACATATTATTATGAGTCACCTGATGTAAAGGCAGTGTAGAACATTTATCACAGCTAAAATCTGTATTCCTAGCACTATAGTGCCCTCTGCCTCCCTCCTACCACGTGCCACCCCCTCCAACCCTCACCGGCAGTGTAAGAGTTAATAAACCATTACTGTACCTACCCGATTCAAGCGCCGATCTCCCTCAGTGCTGGGTTGGCACTCTAATTTTTCTGAATGGAAGGGACGGGGGGGGGAGGGGGGTGCAGTGAGCGCTCCCCTTGATAAAAGCTTTGCTGCAATGACCAAAAGTCGCCTAACTAGCGGGTGTGCCTCTAATAGCAGTCTGATTGACAGTCACTAGAGGCAGTCTTATTGCAGAAACTGCAATAATTAACTTTGCAGGGTTAAGTGGACAGGGTCACTGCACCCAAACCACTTCAATAAGCTGAAGTGATCTGGGTGCATAGAGTGTCTTTCACAGTTGCTAGTCCAATGGTTACTGTTTTAATTAAGTACAGACCCCAGTTAAGTAGTAATAGGCTCAGTGTATTTGTCATAATGACTCTCAGTAATTTTATGTTCACTTGCTTTTCTTTCTTTTGTAGAAGCATTGTAAAATATTGAAACCAGGGTGATCAGCTACACTGTGTGCATTATTATAAATCAACAGGCGATTGGAAGCTCTAACTCAGAAAACACACTGTAATGCATTCTTTGTATTGTTAAAACATACATACAATTTAGCTAAAAGCCTCGTATCCTTGTGAAAGCATTATCATTGTCTGTACATGTTAATATACATACCAACAAAAATGCAACCAAGTGATCTATATTTTTTCTGTATTATTGCAGATGTTTGATGGCTTTTAAGGGGAAATGAAGTTCAGATATTTATTGCCTTAGGTCAGATTAAGTTGAAAATGAGATTAGTGTCTCTTCCACCTGTCTTTATCCTCTTCACGCATAACATTTATATTTATGTTAACTTATGTTGTGCATTGCGGTATAGAATCAGGCAATACACCCCTTATTTATCTTAATCTTTTCTCTGTTGCTGTATTTCACTATGCCACTATGCCAGTATTTCACTTGACATGTGCACAGTCGTTATTCGACATGTGCTAACTCCTTAATTAAATGACACTCAACACCAATTTCTGTTGGAGTATAAAGTCCACAGCTTTATTAATTATAAATATATATAATTTAACAATTTAGGGTCATTGTCACAAGTACTAATTACTACCGTCCTTCATGCCCAATACCCCTGACAATGACCCTACCAAATAACAATAATGAACATTCCAGTAATGCATAACGTTTTACACATGGCCTACCAAAGAGGCCCCAAAACCATATGTTTAACTGTAGGTGTGTACCCAGATACCCCTACACCCCCAGGTTCGTAGCCACCAACGAGCTAGAACCTACCGACCACTTTTCCCCTCCGGCCTATTCCAGCCTAGACCTTGGCCTACCCCCTTCCAAATCCACCTAAATCCTATTTAACCCACGCCCTATTCCCGCCACTATGACCAAACGGGAACTGCTTCAAACCACAATGGGAGGCTGGGAGGGACAAGTAACAAGTAAGTGAGGTTTTTGATTAGGATGGCCACTAAATGGCTAAAATGGCCGTTATTTAAACCCCTACTCTCCTCCTCCCAAACTAAATATCAATTTTATCCACACCCCTTGACCCTAACTTCACCTGCCCACTCTCTTGCCCTGTCAAGGCCCACTCCCCCACTGCGTTGCTCCATGGGCTTCAATTCTGCGAGTTGCAGGCCATCAACATCTGGGAGATGAGATCACTGCTTTACAGCAACCTTGGTAAGACAAAGTTCATGACTACATTCTAGTAGCAGGATTGGGAGATGTAAGGGTTGGCTGGATATGAAATGTATGTGTAGATCATGGGTCGTCAACCCGGTCCCTACCACCCACCAGTGGGCGTTTTTAGGATTCCAGGTGGACGGTAGCAGAATCCTCCCTCCATCCAGAGAGATGAACGCTCTATTCATCTCTTGCGCACTCAGTGGTAAGCAGGAAGTGCGAGGTTGCAGATACGAGTGCATGAAAGCGCGAGCATGTCTGCCTGAACGTGTATGTGCACCCATATGTACGTATGAACACGTGCGCTCATGAACGAGTGTAACATGCGGGTAGAGGAAGGGGAGGAGTTGGAGAAGGTGGGGGATACACGATAGCAGGGAGCAGAGTACTTGGAAAATAGGAGAAAGAAGGAGCAGAGTACTTGTAGAATAGGAGAAAGAAGGAGCAGAGTACTTGTAAAATAGGAGAAAGAAGGAGCAAAGTACTTGTAGAATAGGAGAAAGAAGGAGCAGAGTACTTGTAAAAAAGGAGAAAGAAGGACAATACATTTTTTTTAAAGTAACTGATGCACGGATGAGAAATCATATTATGGGCAAACAGAGAAATCGTTTGAATATCACTGAAAGAGGAGACCTTTGTTTGTTCCTTAGAAAATCGAACCAGATATCAAATATTTAGTCTCGCAGCATCAGCCTCAAGGATCTCATTAATCACTTGTTAAAGGTAATTTCAATTTACTTTATTATTTTCTCATTAAACTTTATAAAGTTAAAAACATCCATAAAGTGGAAATGAAACATAAATGTACGTACATTTTTTTTTTTTTTTTTAAAACACCCTCCTTTCTAAAAAATATTCCGCACTTGCACGAAAACTGGTGGGCGGTAAGGAAATGTTTCCATCAAGAAAGATGCATTAGTGGGCGGTAAGTAGAAAAAGGTTGACTACCCCTGGTGTAGAGTGTTATTGTGTGTAGCTGTCTAAATGTGATTTTATGTCAAGACACGGAGGCTCATATTGCATATCCCTTTCTTTACTGTCCACCAATAGCAGCAAAGGATACAAACAGTAAGAAAAAAACAGTAACCATAGAGATAGGACACTCCCATATCCAGTCCCAGTATAATAGGCAGCACCTTCCCATCCAATTCCTCTTTCTTTGCTGCTACCAAACAGATAAGTACATGACTAATTCACTCTATCATAGCCTTATGGTTTTTTGTCTACTGTTTTTCTGCACTGTTGACTCTTTCACTGCTGATAACTTTTACCATTCACTGGTTTATTATTGCTGGTAATTTGTATATATTTTGACTTTATGTGTATATTTTGTTTGACCCCAGGGATCCAGACCCCTCTGTCCGGCTTAATCCTACTCTACCTTTACTGGTACCTCCTTGTTAAGCTCTAGGGCTTCCTTTTCTCCCTCCATTACACTGCCGGTCTGCCTGTCACTTTGGCGCCCTTTTCGCCCATTCTCCTCCTCCCATTCGACTGTTCTTTCTCCTGTTATTCCCTCACACTGTTCGGCTATTCACGAATTCACCCATTCACATTATTGCCTTATTCACCTTCTATTCTCCTGTTGCTGCATTCGAATTTTCTATGCGAACGCCTGACTCATTCACCTTTTATGTGTTTCCCCTATGACTCCATATGCATTCACTATTTTCAGCCGAACGGTCGGCTCTTTCTCCCTATTTGGCTAGAATTCTGCCGCAAATCTCGCGAGATTGCCGGTGGCCATTTTCTATCACTCACTTTTCTCCCCATTCCTCGTGTCCTCTTCCTATCTGCCGGTCTGGACCCTGGTGAGCTCCCTCATTTTCTCCCTTTTAGCTATAACTAGCCTGGGCTGATTAACTCCTGCTAGTTGCATCCTCATCTCTTAGAACAGTGCTTCCTAATATTTAGCAGCTCTATATAATACTTTCTATTCTCTACAAAATATATATATTTTATTTGTGTCCTGAAATTACTATTCCTTGTTATTATGCCTAGACCTAAAGGGGCTGCTTCCCCCCTTTCCCCTGGGGATATGGATATACCCCATGTGCTGGATAACCCTAACACTGCCAGCTCTGGCCCCCCTTCTTCTGCGGGTGACCCTATGTCAGTGCCGGATGATGCCTTGGCACTGCAACGTTCCGTTACAGACGCCATTATGGCCGCCATGGGCTCCATGTCCTCGGCCCTGTCCCAGACTATATCTCAGGCCTTATTGGCACAACCTGTGCCCGCAGAAGCATCGGCCACACCTACGAGCTTACCGCGCTCCTCTTTAAACCCCTCAGGGGACAATCCTAGAAAGGCAAAGGCCAAATCTAGGCACCTAAGCCCTCCTGCCTCCAGAAACAACAAGACTGGTGTGAAAATATCCACCCATGATAGCGTGCCTATGTCACGCAAAAGAGCCTTTCCGCGCCAGGCAGAACGGGCGCGGCACTGGAAATGTGCCAGAGCACATGCAGAGAGCAACTCCGACTCAGAAATCGGGTCTTGTGAGGAGGCTATAGATGAGTCTGGAGATGACTCCAATAACGAGACTGACGGGCAGGACACTGACCCTTCCGCCCCTACCCTATCAGGGTTGGCAATTAGTGGCTCTCGCAGCGACTCTCCCGCTACCGTGGGTTCAACCCTCATGGACCCGGCTGGGGAACCTATGTTTGACCCGGATGCTCTCCATCACCCGAGGTCGGCAGAATGGCTCCCAGCCGCCCATGTAGCAAAATATCTAGAGAACTGGGTACGGCGCCCCCTTAGCAAGACGGCGCGCAACAAGCTCAGGGCAGAATATCCTAGACCCCTGATCCCCAACAAGGTCTGTGAGACTCCTATTGTAGACCCTAAGATGACGCAGTTTCTTTCTAAGATGGGTTGGAATCCCCGTAAGGGTTTGGACTCAGCATTAAAATCATGCCAGGACAAACACCTGGACATTTTTGGCCCCCTAGCTAAATTATTCGACCTGGCCGAGCTAGCCAGAGCCGAGAATAGACAGGTTGACCCGGAAGAACTCCGTGGTTGGGTACAGAGGGCAATCTGCATAGCAGGTAGCGTTAACACCTCCCTGTCTATAGAGCGGCGTAAAGCCATCCTTTTCAAAATCGAGCCTAAATTGGCCAACCTCGCCCTCACGGAAGCGGGCAAAGATGCCCAGGGCCTGTTATTCGGAGACTCCTTTATCAAGGATTTGGGGCGCTTCGTAGGTGCTTTCACAGCCCTAGACAAGGCCCAGTCCTCCATGAAGAGGGTGTTTCATGGACGGGTCTCTATTCAGGGGCCGTCTGTCCGGCCGGTCAAATTTCAACTCCCGAGGATCGGGACGAGGCTCTTATAATCAGAGACCGCCTTATCAAGACACAAGGCACCAGTCTCCCTTCTTCCCGTCTCGTGGAAGACCATGGCGCTCCAGAAGCTTCAGAGGGAACCCCGGTTCCAGACGCCCTTACGGTAAGACTACACCTACCTCATGTTTTTTCCAATACCTGTGTAGGGGGCAGACTCCGTCATTTTTTCCATGCCTGGTTAGATATCACCTCAGATACCTGGGTTCTGGCCACTGTGAGGGGGTTTCACATAGAATTGGTAGACACCCCGTGTCGTATTCCTCCCCCTCACCCTATGGTACTTTCAAAGGCAAACCGTGCCTTAATAGACAAGGAGCTATTGTCACTCCACACGAAGGGAGCAATAGAACGAGCTCCGCTGCCCCATTCTGGTGTCCTCAGCAACATCTTCCTTGTGGAAAAGAAAGGCGGCCAGATGTTATAAACCTTCGGACCCTAAACTCCATAGTGCGCTACCGCCACATCAAAATGGAGGGCATCCACCTCCTTCGAGACTTACTCCTACGCGGAGACTGGATGGCGAAATTAGACCTCAAAGATGCTTATCTGACAGTCCCGGTGACCGAGTCATCCAGGGACCTACTACAATTCCTTTGGAAAGGCGAGACGTGGCGATTCACATGCCTCCCTTTCGGACTCTCATCAGCTCCGTGGTGCTTCACCAAATTGATGCGACCGGCCGTGGCGTGGCTGCGCAGTCGCGGGGTAAGACTGATAGTCTATCTGGACGATATCCTCCTCATGGCACAAGATCGGGGGGTCCTCCTAGAACACCTTCAATGGACAATGGATCTACTGTGTCGGCTGGGCTTCCTGCTCAACGAGGAAAAATCCTGCCTATCCCCTTCCCGACACATGGAGTTCCTAGGGTTCACGGTAGACTCAGAAGCGGAGTCTCTCAGCCTCCCTCCGGCCAAAATACGCTCAATCCGCAAGGAACTGCGACAAGCCCTGACGCGCCACCAGCTGTCTTTACGACACCTGGCACGACTCATTGGACTACTGGCCTCCTCCATCCAGGCAGTGTTCCCAGCTCCGCTCCATTATCGGGCGCTCCAGTGCCTGAAGATAGCACACCTTCGCAAAGGGGCCTCGTATGCAGATTTGGTCTCCCTGGATTCGGAATCCCGAGACGAACTGACCTGGTGGATCCACAATCTGCCTGGAATGGCAAGGCCATCTTCGGCTCCCAACCGGAGTTCACGGTGGACTCGGACGCAAGTCTCCACGGCTGGGGCGCACACTGCAACGGTGTGACCACTGGGGGTCGCTGGACAGAAACCGAGTCCCGACTCCGCATCAATGCCCTGGAACTATTAGCCGGTTCCTTTGCGATCCGGAGCTTTGCGAACGGCACGGACAGTGCATGCATCAGGCTACGTATGGACAACATTTCAGCGGTTCGCTATGTCAACCACCTGGGCGGCACACGCTCAGCGATACTGGCCCGTTTAGCGAAAGATTTCTGGAACTATTGCTTTGCCAGGAACCTGATGGTCCAGGCGGAATACCTCCCCGGCCTTCACAATACTCATGCGGATTGGAGCTCACGCTATCTATCAGACAGCAGCTATTGGAAATTGGATACAGAGGTGTTCTCCACTATCTCGTCCCTCTAGGGGCCCTTCACCATCGACCTCTTCGCTTCCAGGCTCAACGCCCAACTACCCCAGTTCTACAGCTGGCGTCCAGACCCGGCCGCGGAAGCAGTGGATGCCTTCCTACAAGAATGGTCCGGCCCACACCTTTACGCTTTCCCTCCATTTGCCATGCTTCCCCGAGTGCTACTCCAAGTACGACACCAGATGGCGGATTTGGTCCTACTAACCCCATTCTGGGGTACCCAGTCGTGGTTCCCACAACTCCTGGAACTGGCAATAGACGTTCCCGCACTCCTGCCATCCAACCAGGACCTTCTGCTGAACCCGTTGGGCCAACAACATCCCCTCCTACTGGACGCATCGTTACGGCTACTCGCATGGAGGATTTCAGGGGTCCTTGGGAAGTCCAAGGAGTTTCGGACACAACTCGACGCCTCCTGGCTGACGCATGGGCTCCCGGCACTAGACGCTCATACGGGACCGCTTGGAGAGCTTGGACTGGTTGGTGCCTGGCTAGGGACCTGGATCCCGTGGCGGCTCCTGTGACGGCGATACTCCAGTTTCTCACATCATTATTTGAAGCGGGCCGAGCATATCGCACGATTAACCTATACAGATTGGCCATCTCCTCAGCTCATCAGGGTTTCAACGGCTGCCCAGCGGGCCAACATCCCTTGGTGTGCCGTTTACTCAAGGGTTCACGCCTCTCGCGTCCCCCCAGACCTCGATACACAGCCACATGGGACGTATCCTGCGTCCTATCACTGTTTTCCTCCTGGCCGACCAACTCGGACCTCACCCTGCAACAACTCTCTGCCAAGTTGGTATCACTATTCTGCCTCATTTCGTGCAAACGAGTCTCAGAGGTACGTGCCCTGGACCATGATGCGAGATCCTTCACCCCGGACGTACCCGAGTTTCCCAACTACCCCTAAGTTGTGCCCAGTGACCTGTTTGAGAGAATACGAACTTCGGACGAAGGCACATCGGTCGGCTTCAACTCCTCAACTTTTCCTCTCAATCCGTCAACCCTTCTCCCCAGTATCCAGCACGACTCTGGCTCGTTGGGTGAAGTGGGTCATGTCACAGGCGGGTGTAGACACATCCATTTTTAGCGCCCACTCCACACGTGGGGCTTCAGCCACTTCTATGGCCTCTTCGGGGGCACGCCTGGAAGACCTTATGAGAATGGCGGACTGGTCCAGAGAATCCACCTTCAAGGAATTCTACTTTCGACCTCAGCCTCACGTTTTCTCGTCGGTCATTGCTCAGCTTTAAACTTGCAATATGAGCCTCCGTGTCTTGACATAAAATTACATGATTTTGCTATTTCATGACGAAAAGTCATGATTTTATGAAAGACACGGAGGCGAGTATTGCCCCTCCCTTTTACTTATTTGTATAACCTTTCCCCCCCCCTGTTATATCTCGTTTTAGGGCGGTAAGTATAGAATTGCGCTCCATCACCTATGACTTATATGTACATCTGAATCATGACACTACACATACCTGGGGATTCTTGACTTAAGAAAGAATGGGGGGACACTAAGGGGTGACTTGATTTCCAATGTATCATATCTTGGCATGTACAATTGGTGTTAGTACCGATTTAACCTTTGGGCTCCTGTTATTATGTTTTCACAGGTTGACTCACTTCTGGATGCATCGCATGAAGTGCATCTCTCTACACAGGACTTCTCCAAGTTAGCTGGAGTTCGGTGGCTAACGCTGAGATGGACTCCCTATGGTTAACGTTTCATCATTCGTTCCTGGTTTTGTCCCTGTTATTGGGCATCTTCTGGTCAAGTATCCAGATGGACTTTGGGCCGTTGCCCTTCTAGTTCTGGACTGTTCCTGGTTTCTTGCTTGCTGTTGGCGGGTAGCATCTCCAAAGAAAGAGGAATTGGATGGGAAGGTGCTGCCTATTATACTGGGACTGGATATGGGAGTGTCCTATCTCTATGGTTACTGTTTTTTTCTTACTGTTTGTATCCTTTGCTGCTATTGGTGGACAGTAAAGAAAGGGATATGCAATACTCGCCTCCGTGTCTTTCATAAAATCATGACTTTTCGTCATGAAATAGCAAAATCATGTAATTGTGTGAGGTTGGCTGTTTGAGATTGTCTATGGGGTTTGGCTGATTATGATTGAGTTTGCAGTTGGCTAGGTGTGTGTGTGTGCAGACTTTGTTGAGAGCAATAGTGTGTGTAGTGTGTAAAACATAAAAATATGTTTTTACCAAGCCATCCTGCTTAAAGGACCACTATAGTGCCAGAAAAACAAACTCGTTTTCCTTGCTCTATAGGTTCTTTGGGTCCCCCCCACCCTCTGGGTCCCACTCCCGCCGGGCTGAGGGGTGAGGAAGGGGTTAAACACTTCCCTTTCTCCAGCGCCGGGCTCCCTCGGCACTGGGGACTCTCCTCCCTCTTCCGACGTCAACCGTCGAATGCACATGCGCGGCAGGAGCCGCGCGCGCATCAATCAGTCCATAGGAAAGCATTTCTCAATGCTTTCCTATGGACGTCAGCGTCTTTTCACTGTGATTTTTTTTACAGTGAGAAGCGCCTCTAGCGGCTGTCAATGAGACAGCCACTAGAGGCTGGATTAACCCTAAATTAAACATAGCAGTTTCTATGAAACTGCTATGTTTATAGAAGAAAGGGTTAATCCTAGCTGGACCTGGCACCCTGACCACTTCATTAAGCTGAAGTGGTCTGGGTTCCTATAGTGGTCCTTTAACTTTCTGCAGGTAGGGGCTATAATTCTTGGTGGTCCAGCAAGATTTTTCCCATGCCTGCTCCAGTCCACACATCAATCAGGGCTCCGGCAGGGGAGTGCAAGGCTTTTTTTCTAAGCCAATCATGAGACCCACATAAATACATTGATGAAATATCGGTCTATTCTACATTATTTTTTGGACAATTTCCTTTTCATCTGTAAGCCTGGAGTGACACCAGACCTTGTGGCCCCTGGGTTTTAGGCAAGGTATCTTATGATAGCAATACTGCAACATGTGCACCTTCCCTACGATCCTTAAATTTATGTGTATGGTATCTCATTATACTGACATCAGCAGAATAAAGAGTTAAATACACATTAACAAATAAATAACAAAATAAAGATAAATCACTTGAAGACAATCTGGAAAACAAAATGGGTTCAAATGAGGTTGCAGATGTCAATGTGGGAAAAAAATAAAGGCACTGCATCCAAAATGTAGAAATGCTGTGTGAGAGAAACAAATATATTTATTTCCGATAAAGCACAGTTTTGCCAGAATAAAATAGAAAGTAGAGAAAGGTAGTAGTTCAGAATCAATTTGATGCTCTGTGCTCTGATAACTAGATTTTTGTTCTACTTCCATCAATTTTAATACAAAGCCCGGGAATGAAATGACTAAATATAGCAAGTTTTGATTTTGATATCCACTTTAAATCACAATTGTGCATTTTGAAGAACATTATTAACAGGAAGTTGGTGAATTCATATTACATTTGAAGGAGGCATTGACGAGTAAATCTTTTTTTAATTATATCAGAAAATAAAACATAGAAATTTCACAAGATACAGCGGAAATAGCTAACTAAATGGAAATAAAAGCAGTGGTACCAAGCCTTTCAAACCCAATTATGCTTTTTAAATGAAGAAAGAAGGAGAACCAGTGAGAGAAGGCAGGCGATACAATTAAATAGTTAATCATTAACCAGGAACACCATCCATGCAAACAAAACAATAACATAAAACATAGCTGCAATGAGAAATCGAGATTGCTGAGCATAAGCGCCTGGATCACATATTGCAGCTAGAGATGTAAACATTAATGTTTTATATAATCCTATTTAAAGATATTTCTAAATTGGCAACATAATCCAGTATGTCTGATAGACCGTCTGACATATGAGCTGCATATTGAAGATGACAGAGCATATTATAGAAATGTATCACATCACTAATTTTAAAGAGATTTTTCTAAGCAGTTTTGCTTATGTCTTTATTTGAACATTTGTGGCAATTTTAAAATGGCTGCCAAATTGTAGGACAGATTAACCTATTATAGGACTGTATATACAGCGTATGCATAGATGATGCATGAAGAGAAGTAAATTAGAACTATTTCATATTCAGTATGACTGACGACATTTATGACATTTCAATCTCCATACCATATTACAGTTAGCACTTTTGCTATTGAGTAATCAATCATGTATTTAATCATGTATTTAATTATGTATTTAACAAGTTTAAATATAGTTAAATCAGAAAATAAATACAAATGCATACAATTCTAGGACACCTTAAGTGAAATTTACTTGGGGCAGCTATATTGATTTTGAGATCACCTTGCTGTGAATACACATGGTAGAAAACCTAGCTGTGATCATGTCCGCCATATTTGTATTGCTTTAATCTAATAGAACAATATGTTTAAAAAAGTTTTTTTGCAATTTAATATTGTGACGGACCGCCTTGCACCCCGACCAGGTCAATCACTGCTTCCTAGTACTTGCGAGTACCATAAGCACTGCACTGGAACACCATAACCACCGTAAACCCCACGAACCGCCACAACTTGGTTGGGGTCTCACTGTTCTCCACCCACCCTGGACCCAAGACCAGGATCCAGGTTCCAGTGGGTAGACCTCTCCCAGTCCAGAGAGCGTAGCAGGAACAGAATAGTAATTAAATGTACGACACTCCCATAACAAACATACAATCCCTCCCCTCTGCCTGTGAGATAATTGAGTCAGATACTGTATTAACCTAATTATTTCCAGACAGAAAAACACATATTTTACGAAACCCCAAAACACAACATAAATGTTCCCTGACAGCCCTAATCTGGGTGAACAACATATCCAAAAATAACGCAGATCAGTTCAGGGGTTCAAGAATTTCCTGGATGTCTTATTTTTGACCGACCGTGCACATGGTCCCCTGCCCAAAACAGTTCCAGAGAATTGAAGATTATATTAGCTTTAGTGTACTAATAATCTTAATTTTAGTAATGACAGGAGGCGAATATTTGCATATCTTTCTTTACTGAAAACTCCAGCAGCATAGAAACATAACAACCAATCAGAAAAAAGTTATGATGCCCATAAAAGGCCCTGTCTATGACATCACTTCCTCTTTCTTTGAAGCGAAACAATAAATAACAACAAGAGACATAATCATATTACGTCAACAGTTCAACAACATATTAGAATATCCAACTCCATTAGTTCCGCGATGCAGAGGTATGGAAGGTGAATCTTTGTCTCGATGAGAAGACGTTCACGCTGCAAGAAAAAGAAAAAGGTGAAAGGTATCTGGCGTGATAACTTGTCCGCATACAATAAGCATAAGCATCTGATATACCAACGAACATTAGAATGTGAAACATATCAATATATATTTATTCTAACGCAATGATATTTAAGAATCTATAAACACAACATAATGCAAGGTTCATGTCTAATATTCAGCCAATACAAGACCCACACGATACAGGTCTAAGTAGCAAACATACAAACCATACGTACTTACCTTCCTGAACATAAAGGACATATTCTGTTCAACACGAGAAACATGGGAGGGATCCTATAGGGTGGGAAATATTCGCCTCCTGTCATTACTAAAATTAAGATTATTAGTACACTAAAGCTAATATAATCTTCAATTTTACCACATGACAGGAGGCTTCATATTTGCATTTTTAAAGCTTTGAATTGACCAATGTGAAGGAAGCATGAGATGTTTGCCGAAAATAGAACGTTCTAAACGTACTCTCTCGCGCTCAGTCCGCGCAGCGTATAATGTCGGCTAGGGAAGCGTCGGCCGAAAAGGTTTGTGAGGCCGCCGCTCCCCTGACCGAGTGGGCTCCGAAACAAGGTTCGACGCTAAAGACAAAAACCAGCGGACCCATCTGGCCAGTGTTGCGGTAGACACCGGTCCATGAGGGTTCACGTAAGAAGTCAGAAGGTGATCCGTCGAATGAGTTCGAAGGGGGTAGAGATATTGGTGTACCCCATTAGCGTTCTGACCACGCATAGTGTGGCGTCTGACACAAAGCATGGGTATGACACTGAAGACGAATCAGACTTAGTTCGTCTCGACATGGTAAAGGTAACACCATCTGGTGTGAGAGAGAAACCATCCATATCGCAAGCCCTAACGTCCGCCACCGTCTGAATGAGGCGAGGCATAATAAGAGGGCTAGTTTGGCTGAAAGTAGCTTCAGTGACAAACAAGGATTGTCCGGCCATTCCCTAAGGA